TCCTAGACAAGAGTTACCGACCGCTTTAATATTATCCATGATCTCTACCCATAACTTGTCTATATCCTCACGATCCTTGTCAGAAAGCTCTAAAGCTTCAAACCTATTTTTAACATCCAGCTCGAATTGGGTTCTAATTGATGGATTTTTTCATCAAATAAAATGTCTCGAAATCGAAACGGGTTTCTTTTCTCTTTTTTATATTAAGTTCCTGTCGAAGTTTCGTGATTACTAATTAATAATCGGACGCACATTCTGCTCTGCGATAAGACCGTACATTAATTATACTGCTCTGCCAGCAATGTTGTATCAAGACATGATCGGTTTGATTTCGTGTTTGCGAATCCGGTGATGTTGAGGTATATTTATGAATATCCTTTTGTTTAAACGAAGTACTTTTAATTATCAGGTTTTTCGAAAGGGTAAAGTTTATCAGACGGATCCAATTATCATTCCTATATTCGTAAAAACTTTCTTTACCAATCGTCGGAACAAAAATTTCTTCCTTCCCCAACCTTTGCGTTTGCGTCACCTACAATAATTTTTATGGAAATTCGCGGTAGCTTATCATAAACCCATTCGATTTTATTGTAAAATTCGCATTTGACTTGATCATCACAGTCTTCAGTCGGACAATGTATGTTTATTAATGCGATTTTAAACTAACGTCCCTAAAATATGGCCACCGAAATTCTATCACTAAAGAATTGTACGTCCTTCAAAGCGGATAGAAATCTATTCCTAATTATAAACCCGGTACCTAAACAATGATTCCTTCTTCCTCCGTACCAAATAGTGTACTTTCCTTCCCTCATCGAGCCCTCTCCTGGCCGGCGAACCTCTTGCAGAGCCACGACATCCAAATTGTACCCATTAACCTCATTTGCTACCGATTTTAACCCACTGGCTGAATTCAAAATCCTGACGTTCCACCTGCCAATACTTAAATCACTATTTTTCAACTTGCGCCATGAATCCCCTAAAGCAGTCCAACTCGGAGACTGGAATGTAACCGGTTTTGAAATCAAATGCTTCCTGTGAAACAGAGGTATTTACGAAAAAAAAAACAAGAAAAACTGAGCAACATTCGAAAAAAAAAACTGTAAAGATTTGAAAAAAACAAGAAAATCTGAAAAAAGGGAAACTAGTGGAAAAACCGAAAAATTAACTGGAATTGGGGATGGAACGCTGGAAACCCTGAATCCATCTGAGGTCAAATACCTTTTACCTAAAATCATTCCCCGTAAATCTCCTGAATAAGGCCTCTTAACCCCGCAGATCCCTCAACACCTTCCACCCAAATCTATCATATTCGTTACGTATATTTATAATTGCATCTTAAGAACTACCCTCTTCCCTCTCTTATGGAAACATTTTACCATCGTCCTTTTCCTGAAGCCAGACAAACCTTCCAACAGCGCACCATCCTTTAGACTAATTAGCCTACTCTCAATCCTATCAAACATTTGTGAAAAATCCTACTGAAAAAACTCTACTTATTATTCTTAACATAAGCTAACTAATTGTTTATCAAACACATGCTAATATACAGAATACAACAGATAACAAAAAGGTCAGGTTACAAGAGTGTTGTAATAATACAGTGTCGAAAACTAATACACCAATTCGAAATTAAGCACTTCATTTCCACAAGCTTTGTTGTTATTTCTTCAGTCTAAACATAACTTATATATATATATATATATATATATATATATATATATATATATATATATATATATATATTATATATATATATATATATATATATATATATAGCATTTCCAAGTCAATTTCAACCTTTTCCAAGTCAAATTCAACCTTCTTCCAAATCAAATTAAACTTTTTCCAAGTCAAATTCAACCTTTTCTATTTCAAATTAAACCTTTTTTATTTATTTTTAATTTTTCGATGTATGGGTCAGTTATCGTATGCGTAGTTTTTGAAAATAACTTCCATTTTAATAAGGTCATTTTCAAAATCTACGACTCTGCGAACATAAGAATATACTCTTATATGGAAAAAAAAATCGAAAAACTTAAATAAGTCAAAACGCAGTGGCGTAATATTAAAATGGGAGTAATTTTCAAAATCTACGGCTCGGAAAACATAAGATACACCCTTATATTGAATAAATCTGAAAAACTTAACTAAGTCAAAACGCAGCGCCGTAATCTTAAAATGTAGGTCATTTTCAAAATCTACGGCTCCTGAAACATAAGAATACACCCTTTATCGAATAAATCATCATCATCATCATCCGTGGCGCTACAGCCCAGTTTGGACCTTGGCCTCCTCAATGAGCCTTCGCCATGTAGCTCGGTCTTGTGCGGCCGTTCTCCAGTTGCGGCATTAATACGTTCCCTGGTATTCCTGATGACAGCACCCTCCCATCTCAGCCTCTTCCTCTGGTCCAATGCAGCCTACCGTCCAGCAACTTCCTCGGGATCTCATCCGCTTGCATCTTGACGACATGGCCAGCCCAGCGCAGCCTCCCCACCCTTATGTGACGCATCACATCTCTCTCATTGAACAGCTTGTACACCTCCCTGTTTGTTCGCCTTCTCCAATTTTCGCCTACCTTGACACAACAAATATTCGGCACAGAATTTTTCATTCGAAGACCAAGATCTCCGGCTTCCTAAGTCCAAAGTAGCATCTGTTGGCCTTCACTAGGCGCTGGCTTGTTTCCAGAGTGATCCTGTTAATGCGTTTGGAACTTGATTACTGGAAAGAATATAAACCTGCCACAACGAGGCTTAAAACCCAAGTCACATTCATAAAGAAATTGGAGACAATTGGAGAAATTAAAGGACTTGATATTTTTTCAAGAGAAAATTTCATGACTATTCTACCAAGGGTCTATACAAAGTCAGAACAAACAAATTTACAGCTTCTGCAACCAGTCAACAAGCAAAATTACTCTAAAACAGAACTAAGGAATTTAGCACTTGAAACCATAAGGGAGAGGTAACCCAGTCACCCATGGTTACACGTGTACACTGACGGTTCTACGAATAGAGCAAGATAGGATGGGGGAGCTGGTGTTTATGCAGAACATTTCCAATTGTCAGAGCCTGTGGGAAAGCTAGCAAATAACTTTGACAGTGAGGTAAAAGCAGTCTTTCTAGCATTAGAACTAATAAAAGAGTCTAAACCGCAAAAAGTTGTGGTCCTAATTGACTCACAGGCTGTAATAATTGCCATTTCAGATCCTTCCTGCTGTTCCACAAATCAAATTAGTATGTGCCAGGAATTGATTGAGAAGCTGATTTTAGAAGGCACAGATGTCGTTCTACAGTGGATACCAGGACACTGTGGTTTGACAGGTAATGAAAATGCTGACCGATTAGTGAAAGGTGACGAAAAAGATCAGCCAGATATGCCAATCCCTTTCTTGATGGCAAAGAAGCTAATCAAAACAGTAATCATTGAAGAACTGGAACAGAAACGGCAGTTGGAGTTAAAAGAGAAACAATGGGCTTCTTTATTAGAAGAGAATGGAAGAGTGCCAGTGGATCTCCCTAGAAGTGAGGCTGTTGCACAGTTCAGGATGAAAACCGGACATGACTATCTCCAAAGCCATCTATTGGAGTTGTGGATTCAGCAATATGTCCACTGTGTCGACAGGGATTCATGACTGCTCTGCATCTACTTACTGACTTGTTCAGAATTGATATGAATGACAGCATTCATGAAAACCGCAAATGTATAAGTAAATAATATTGTCGGAGTCCATATTATATTAAGCTCATGTTATGTATGGAATCCTGTTCTAATCTTTCGGGTGAGCACTCTTATTCCTTTGGTTCCTCCATTAGAACTATTATCCGCTATGATCTATTATTTCTCCTTTAGTTAATTATCAAATTCTTTCATATTTTATATGAAAGTATTTTTTAAATCAAATATTAATGTGTAATAGTTAATTACTTCAACTTAAAATAAAATAAAGGTACTTTAGAGGAAGCTAATATTGAAAATTAGCCATTTAAGCTCTGTTAGGGAACATCAATGAGAATAAAACCTGCATTATATTAAAAACTGCTTAATAATACACTGATATAATGAGTTTAATCAAAATCGTTAGAGCTGTTTTTGAGGAAATCGTAAAAATGTGTTAAATCGATGACATAAAGTACAACTTCCGATTTGCCAATTTTAGCGAAAAGGTTGCTGTGACATCCTAGGCTTATAAAAAACCTCAAATACACAATTTCAGTTTTGTGCGACTTTTCGTTTTTGAGCTAGGCTGTTCACAAACATACACACACACACCTACACAGAGACCATTATGTGGGACTTGGTTATTTGTACTCAGAGGAACTCAAAACGTGTATTTCCGTTGAAAACTCAAATTCGAAAATTTTCACGAACCCTTACCCTTACTATATATTACATATATAGGTAAGTGAAAGTAAAAATACTAGGGTCGTTACTCATTTTGGTGTAGATATCTAACTTCTTTTTTTTATATTCTAACTACAATATTTTTTTGGGAAGAGCAAAGTTGGGTATACTATTGTAAAGCTGATGAAGGGAAGGTAAATCCACAAGGTTGCTTGAAAATTTATTGCATGAGCATGTACTAAGTGTTTTTGATTTTGATTTTCTTTTTTTTTTTGTGATAGTTTATTTTACTTTGGCTGCAATGATATCCTGAAAAAGAGATATTTTGCTAAAAATAGATTGCTGGCTTAAAGAAAATCCATTGTAGATTCTGAAAATGTTGACAAAGTTTGGAAAATGCTAAGTTACATAAAATAAATTTGGATTCTTATGGTAAGAAGTGTAGTTTTCTTGGAAAAACCTTAAAAATATAATGTCATGACAATGGATTGAGTTATTTGTATTGTAGGAGGCCCTGAACTACATTTTGATGGACTCTCTTCCCCTTATATTACTGACATGTGACAAATTTGAATCTACTTTCTATAGTTTTGTTTTAGTAGAAGAAATTGTATTATTCCAAATTTTTGCCAAATATTGAAAAAAGTGATAAAACAGTTCAACAATATATTTTGAAGATATATGTACAATTAGCATTTATATTAATCTATTACAAATTAAATCAAATATATAACTAAATTCATGGCCAAAATATTGTGATGAACTATATTGGAGCATTCTTGAAACCTCGTGAGGCATAATCTGAGGGATGAGTTCGTTCAGGAGCAGCAGGAAAACCAGGATTACCAGGGAATACAGCAGGGCGGTTAGCAACTACACGCCATCCTCCTTTCCTGGTCCAATCCTGAAATCATTTAATAATCTTTAGTCTACTCAGATTAATTAACAGTGTTATTCTCTGTATTTATTTTATACAGTCATGGACATCTTATCAATTTGATAAGGAAAGCCATATCAACTATTCTTCTGATATATCCTATAATTATGGCTCCATTCTAAACTTCTTGATTTTGTTTTTTAACTAACAATTATACAATTGAAATGTCATATTTTTAAAACATGACCTTCTATATAATTTTTTAAAAATAAAATATGAACTTTTAAACATTTTTTTTTTTTTTATATATAACTGACATGATACTAAGGATAGAAGTAATATAAGTAAAACAGTACAACATAAATTTATTATTTTCTAAAAAATAACAATAATAAAAGGCTTAGCGAACCCAAAGGTTCGATGGCGACACCACCAATCGCTTATTACACACCTCCCTCGATCGTTCGCCGTCTAAACTCAGTGCCTTCAGATCGGCTTTAATGCAATCTTCCCACCTTCACTTCGGTCTACCCCTCGGACGTTTACCATTCGGTACAGCAAATATTAACCTTTTAGGAATTCTCTCGTTACTAAGCCCATTTGATTCGCAGCCCGGATACAGTTAACGCAATTCGGCGTTGTGTCACCGTCTGAATTCTCCTGTTAACTCATCCTTCTTCGATCCGAATATTCTACACAATACTTTATTTTCAAAAATCTTAAGACGCTGTTCATCCCTCAATGTAAGCGGCCATGTATTGCATCCATAAAGAACTGTAGGTAAGATAATGTTTTTATAGATTCTAATTTTTAAGTTTCAGGACAAGAGGCGCGAGCTAAGTAGTTTTGTCACAGAAAAATAACAAGCATTTCACGCCTTCCGTCTAACCTTATTCTCTTCTTCAATTTCATTTTTTCTAGTTATCGTAGATCCTAGATACCTAAATTTCTCTACCTGTTCAAACATATTACCATCTATATCGATATCACCAGTAATATCACCATTTTTGCAGCTAACCATATATTTTGTGTTATCCATGTTTATTTCGAGCATAGCCATAGCAGTCAGCATAGCCCAGCACGGGTGTTGTCCCACCCAGATCCAACCCTTTTTCGGTACTCATTACCTCCATAATGGCATTTGAATAGGACAGGCGAAAGGGAATCCCCCTGTATTAAACCCGAACGAACCTCAAACTTTTCGTACAAATTATTACCAATTCTAACTTTATTGAGTGTTTCCGTCAAGCACATCCTGACTATATTTACTAGTTTTTTTGGAATCCCCTGCTCGATTAGAATGTTATATAGTTTCTGGCGGTCAATAGAATCGTCAGCCTTTTTGAAATCAATATACAGCTGGTGAACAACACTGTTGTACTCTATTTTTTTCTCTAATATTTGCCGTAAAGAAAATATTTGATCAATAGTCGAACGATTCCATCTAAATCCGCATTGGTAGTCTCCGATAATTTCCTAGGCGTATTCCGTGATTCAACTAGTTAAGATTAAAGTGAATATTTTATAACATTACGGAAGTAGTGAAATTCCTGGATAGTTATTACAATCCGTCCTAGGATCCTTTTTGTAAATCAGAATAAGAATAGATTCTATCCATTCTTAAGGGAATTTCTCATTCTACCAGATCTTTTTAACCAACCAATGTATTTTAGAAACTCCAGCTTCCCCGCATGCCTTAATTAGTTCAGTAGGAATGTTATCGGTTCCCGCTTTTTTATAAGATTTTAACTTTCTGATAGCTACTTCAACCTCCACTTTACTCGGTTCTCCTATTAACGGTTCAGCACTCTGGTACTTAGAAGGAGGACACAGATCAAAATTTCCTGTATTTAAAATATTGTCAAAGTGGTTCTTAAACTTATTTAATATGTCAACCGGATCGGTCAGGATATTGTTATTTTCATTCCTAATTCCAGACGTGACGGGCCCTAAACATTTACGTGATCTGTTTATACCTTTGTACATGTCTCTTACGTTATTTTCGATTCTATTAGTTTCTATTTCAGTTATTTTATTTTTAAAATACTCTCTTTTTTATTTTTGAGCAATTTTGTCGTTTCATTCTTTGAGGTTCGGAAGTATTCAAGATTGTCTTCGCTAGGATTATTTAGAGCTTTTAATTTAACGGCTTTGCTTTTTTCTTAAATGTATAAACAATCCACATCAAACCACGGCTTGTTATTCTTGTTTTCCTTTTTTCCTAGACAAGAGTTACCGACCGCTTTAATATTATCCATGATCTCTACCCATAACTTGTCTATATCCTCACAATCCTTGTCAGAAAGCTCTAAAGCTTTAAACATATTTTTAACATCCAACTCGAATTAGGTTCTAATTGATGAATTTTTTCATTTTTCCAAATAAAATGTCTCGAAATCAAAACGGGTTTCTTTTCTCTTTTTTATATTAAGTTTCTGTCGATGTTTCGTGATTACTAATTAATAATCGGACCCACATTCTGCTCTGCGATAAGACCGTACATTAATTATACTGCTCTGCCAGCAATGTTGTATCAAGACATGATCGATTTGATTTTGTGTTTGCGAATCCGGTTGATGTCGAGGTATATTTATGAATATCCTTTTGTTTAAACGCAGTACTTTTAATTATCAGGTTTTTCGAAATGGTAAAGTTTATCAGACGGATCCCATTATCATTCCTATATTTGTGTAAACTTTCTTTAACAATCATCGGAACAAAAATTTCTTCCCTCTCCAACTTTGCGTTTGGGTTACCTACAATCATTTTCATGGAGTTTCGTGTTAGATTATCATAAACCCATTCAAGTTTATCGTAAAATTTGCATTTGACTTGATCATCATTGTCTTCGGTCGGATAATGTATGTTTATTAATGCGACTTTAAACTAACTTCCCTGAAATATGGCTACCGAAATTCTATCACTAAAGAATTGTATGTCCCTCAAAGCGGATAGAAATCTATTCCTAATTATAAACCCGGTACCTAAACAATGATTCCTTCTTCCTCCGTACCAAATAGTGTACTTTCCTTCCCTCATCGAGCCCTCCCCTGGCCGGCGAACCTCTTGCAGAACCACGATATCCAAATTGCACTCACTGACCTCATTCGTGACCGATTTTAACCCACCTGCTGAATTCAAATTCATTGCGTTCCACGTACTAATACTTAAATCACTATTTTTCAACTTGCTCCATGAATCCCCTAAAGCAGTCCAACTCGGAGACCCGAACGGGGGAGTAGTTTACCTCCGGATAGTGAGCGTTTTATCTTAGGGAGATCCATGACTATTTGTGGTGTATGGTGAACTAAAGATATGTGAGTACAGCGTTCAATCCTACGTCACACCCTCCAGCAAGTCTGGTGGGGCCCACTCATAGTTGGTCAGTGAGTCCATTGAACTAAAAAATACAGGTTTAAAATTGTTTATTTAATTTTATTGTGCAATTGACATTATACATTAATTCATCACTGAGCACCCCGTTGTTTAATGAAAAAAAGCTCAAATGGCTCTATTTAATATGTGTTTATAATCATCAGGTACGGTCTCGACCCATATAAGAGTCCACTGTTGCCTGAGCCCGGTTCCCTCTTGACTCATATGAGTCCACTAACTTTTGTATGTGTGACTGTCACCATTAAAGAATTAGGAACAGAAGTGCCTTGAACCCATTAAATAAAAACAAGTGTCTATTAGATGATTTAATGTTTGTGAATGTAGAATTGTTCTCATGCATTCTACATTCACTAAAAATCGGTCAAAGCTATAATAAATGTTATGGCAGATTATTAATAAAACGACAAAAATAACTTTTATTTTCAGTTAATTAAAAGTTGGCATATTTCTATAGAGATGACTGTTGTAAAAATCAATTCATTACAAAAATAGATAAAATTCAATTCAAAAGATGCAAATTATTTCAAAGTTGGTGATTCTGTAAGAATACAAATATTATTACAAAGATCATAACAAAAACAGGAATAATGTAATATAAAAATAAAATAAGCGTATATGCATTCAAATAAACAAGTATAAGTAAGAAACACTCACATTTGCATTATATTTTAAATAATATGTTCCTGCATACAGCACAGCTACGGTCATGAGAAATTTTCCAGCAAAATATCTTGTATATTGAGCAGCAGTAACACCCTTAAAAAAATAATTTAGCTTTTAATAATACAATCCTCATAAATAAACATGTATAATTAATAATGTACATATAAGACAGTTACACAATGCCAAATTGCATAAGCTTTTTTTAAAGGAAGGAGATGGTCCGGGGTGGCGGTCATAAAAAGGTTAAATAATGGCAAAACTATTTTATTAAAAGCCAACGTTTCGCCCCGACTTTGCAGGTCTTCTTCAGGGCTAGAACGGACAAGATACAAAAAAATAACTTATATATTACAATATTACATACATTAAGTGAAAAATAACTTATATATTACATCTTATTATTTTTATCTACTTACAATTTTTATTGATTAATTCAATTTAATTGTTCTTTATTCTAAGTATTTCCGCTTTGTATGATCTCTCTTTTATTTTATTTTAATTTTATATTTACATTCTACATCAATGTATGATCATCCGTATTCACTTTGTAATCATTTTACTTTTTAACCATGTCTCAATATTATCTAATATTTAAATGTAATTTTCTTACATATGTACAACTAAATATAATTATAATTATTCATATTTTTTTCCTCACTATACTTCTAAATTAGTTCTGCAATGTATGGTCTCTTATTTCTATATTTATATTTTACTTCTTCCATTTTTGTTTTCATACACATTGTACTCTTATCTATAATTTCTTAATTCTATTTTACATGTATATGTATATATTTATAATTTATTATTTCATAGATATAGTATTTTCCCTTTGTATCCATCCATATCTTAAAATTTTAGATACAGTAATCTTCCAGATTTTTTTTTTGGTTTTTTTCCTCCTTACCCAAACAGGTCAGGGAATTTTCCCAATACCTACACTTACCATGAGTTTCCAGTTCTAAGTGAAACTCCTAGCTGAACACACCTGTAAGTGTCTATTTTTATTCTTCTAATATTATATACTTACTTATTTATTTTTGGTTTTCTTTATTGCCTCCACATTCCTTTATGTCTATTATTTCATATTATATCCTTTTTCATTTTCTTTCAATCTCTCCTGTAGAAGTATATTCACATTTGCATATATTATATATTATACTACAATTGTTACCATATGTTTACTTCAGTTTAGGATCTTTTTACTTAGCTTACTCTGTTTATATTTTAATGTATTTACTGTTTATAATTTTAATAAGCTTATTCACATTGTTTATAATTTTTTGTCTTAATATTATGTAACTTTCACAATTCTCTATTCTTTTTGTATCTTGTCCGTTCTAGCCCTGAAGAAGACCTCTAAAGTCGGGTCGAAACATTGGCTTTTAATAAAAAAGTTTCCCACTACTTCGTCTTTTTATGACCGCAACCCCGGATCATCTTCCTTTATAATGCAATGGTCAACTATTAAACATTCAATAAGCATTTTTTTTTTTTCAATTACTCCCTACCTTGCCATAGAAGCAAGATGGAATAATATAGTTTTTCTTTTCACCCCCTATCTCATAATTTTTGCCAGATGGAATGGGGGGGGGGTCATTCTAGAGATACAATTATTCTACACTATTCTAACGTGGGAAGGTTGAGATTTATTCTGTGGGTCCACAGATAATAGATTTCAACCCACTCAGGCCATATTGCAGCGCGGCACCACACAACATTCACTTACCACCCCCTTGTTTAATAGAAATAAGTATTTTCCAACAAAGAGGAAGTGAAAGTAAAAATTACGGATGGTACAAAATATAATTTAAAACAATTAATAATCATATGTTTTTGACAGCCATTTAATTTATTATATTTATGCTTTTTTTTTTGTCACTAACCAATTCCTTCTATGAGTGTTTATGTTATTATTTATGTAATTATAATAATCAAGGCCCGGATTTTTATGCAGTAAAAGCCCACATAATATGCCATATAATATGCAATAAAAAACTCTGAAATATGCAGTCAAAAAACGTGAAAAATGCAGTAACTGTAATTTTAGTTTCTTGTTTCTTTAAATATTTAAACTAAAGAATGAAAAAAACTAAACATATACGGCTGATAAGGTTATATATATATATATATATATATATATATATATATATATATATATATATATATATATATATATTATAATGGTAACAACAACATAACATGAATCACATTAAAAAAATTTAAATATCAAAATAGTACAAAGTATGTACAAACGAAAAAATCTGGTGTGTCCACTCACATAACTTTCCTTCCTATTTCAGAAATGATTTTGTATCTTTACATATGTCCATCAAGAAACAAAAAAAAAATTGAATTAGATTTATTTTCCTGAAAATTGACCAAAGAAAAGATTTGAGTAAGATTTATTCGGTAAGCCAGCTTAAGGTAGATCAGTGTAAAAATTTCAATATTCTCTAATATTGCTGATCAAAAACTTTTTGCCATAGCCTAATTTTGTCAAACAATAATTTCTGTTAAAAGTAGAGGTAATAGTGAAGCTTGTCTGATGCAGGCAACAGATTTTCTTACTTCCACTAAGCTATCTTTTTTCTCTAATTCATCCGTTTCTGACACCACGATATGTACCAGTACTCTTACATTGGAAATTGAATAGCTGCAACTCCGTTAATAGTTGTCCAAAATAAACAATTTTTATATATTTATTTTATATATATTTACATTTTATATAGTTATAGTGGGGAATTTCATTACCTTTTATTTTTTGGACTCAGGGGGCTCTGAAACGTATAGATCCGTTGAAAACCGCATATTGAAAATTTGACCCGATCGCAATACTTTCTTTACCTAGTATAGGTAGGAAAGTAATAAATTAAAACATGTGTAGAAAATAGAATACGCTGTATCATCGCTAGTACTCGATTCCGATGATTTTTTTTTTTTTTTTTTTTTTTTGTTTTGTTGGTAATTTAATTACTTTTCAAAAGTTTTTTTATAAATTTTATCATAGAATATATACTTAGAGAGTTAAGCCCCAAAACATTTTTCTTTTCTATATAACTTTTTCGGGAATTCAGTCCAGGTACGAAAATTGAAAGGACAATTATTAGAACATTATAGGAAAGTTTTATCAAAATTGTTAGAGCCGTTTTCGGGCTACAGTCTATAGAAAAACATGTTTTTCATTTATTGCGCAGCTGCTATTGCACATGGAGCACTCAATTTGTGACCCAGGCATCAGTAGTCAAAACCCAACAAAATAAAAAAAGAAGCAACAAAAATGGTCCACTAGTTCCCGAGAAAATCTTGACACGGACAGACCAATGGCTAAAAACGTATTTTTCAGACTCAGGGGGCTCTGAAACGTATAGATCCGCATCAAAAACTGCATATCCAAAATTTGACCTGATCGCAATACTTTACTTACCTAGTATAGGTAGGAAAGTAAAAACAATAATTATATTAACACATAATTAAATAAGCATAGTAATAAAAGATAACAAATATGGAACAGTAAGTATGTAAATACTTTAAAATTTTGTATGTTAATGGATAAAAATCTAATATGAGTCTTTTTTGAAACAAAAACAGAATTAACAACCTGTGGAATAAGTAGCGTAAAATAGATAAAACATTTGAATTAAACTGCTTTGCAGGCATGTTCTGTATTAAAATGAATTACCAGAAGCATTTGTAAATTTGCTTCTGTGAAACCTTACCTTTTATAAAATATTTTTATAATTAGAAAATGATCCCTCCACATCAATAAGCGAGATAAAGGCAAATTTATATCCACTTAAAATTACCGGGATGATGTCAAATGTCGCTGGAAACAATGGAATCTTCCCGCGGCCCAGTTCCCAAACTGAAGTAGCACTTCCAAACTAATACCGTACTTTGTTAACCATTATTAACTTTTCAAGAGGAAAATTAATAATTTATGATATAAAATTATGCACTAATTAAACATCACATAGAAGAATTTTCTACACATTTGGTAGTTTATACAAAAACCAGTCTCACTCCCATTATAATAGTATAAAGACAATCAACAAATAATAGTCACAAAGCTACTAGATTAGACTTTGATGATAGTAATATCATAATCCTAGAATCTTATTTCAAACTACTACAACTTCTAAAAATCATATTAGCACTTTGGAATTCCATTCTAATTTCTTCAAACAGCCAACATCCATCTCCATGATAATCAGTTCAAACAAACAAGGGGAGGCTACAGCCAGTGGGTCACCAATTTCAATAATTTTTTTTTTTTTTTTGTGAAATTAAATCGAAAAATTGGACACATATTGGGGCGTTTGTTCCATCCAGCCGCCCTAGGAGCCGAAAAAAAAAAAATTTATATAATTTGAAACAAAATTTATGTTATTAATTTTCCTCTTTGCTTTGCCCTAAATTTCAGGGTATTATATATTAATAGATTTTTGTGAAGAATGAGAAAAAAGTATTGACTATTGTATTTAATGAGTTAAAATGTATCATAAATTACAAAAAAATAAAAGGCACTTCCAGTATATTAGACCAAATAAATTTTTGATATGAAAAAATAAGTCAGATTCATTTTTAGTGTCCTTTGAAACTCTTCCTTGAAATCAAAAATTGCAAAATTTAGTACTTAATTTTTGTAGAGGATTTTTTTCTGGCTGATAACTAAAACATTCAAAGCTTCTCAGGATTTTTTACAAATTCAACGTTAGTAGAACCGTTGAAAAGCTGAATTAAGCTTGATAGCTCTTCCAATCCACATTGAGAACTTTCAGATTATTTTCATTTTTAAATTAGGAATCAAGAAAAATTTCCCAATCATTTATATTTTATATGTTTGGTTCAAATTTATTTACAGAATTTTTTTGTTTTATACCATTTCGTGTAGCTTAAGGAATCCTAAATCCCTGATAATTTTTGTTTGAATTAGAGGAGCCGTTCTAAAGTAATCACATCTTTTTAAGGTTGCTGACAGAATTTTGAAGGGTCCATCCTAGGCAAAAGTTTCTTGCAGAGAATTTTAGTTTTTCGATTGCTATGAAAATTCATATTTCAGGGTTATTTGAATCCTTCTTTGGTTATCGGCCAGAAAAACATCCTCTAAGGAAATCAAGTATTATACTATGCAATTTTTGATTTCTTTAAAAATTTGTATTTAAGAGTTAAATTTATTTGGCCTACTTAACTGGAAGGGTCTTTTGTAATTTATGATACATTTTAACTCATTTAATATAATAGCCAATATTTTTTTTCTTATTCTTCACAAAAAAAAGAATCGATTGATAAAAAATATCCTGACATTTTGAGGCAAAACAAAGGGAATAATTAATAACATAAATTTCGTTTGAAATTATATAAATTTTTTTTCTTGGCTCCTAGGGCCGATTGGAACAAACACCGGGACTAGTGTCCAACATTTTTCATTGTAGTATCACTAAAAAAAATTTGGCTGAAATCGGTGACCCACTGACTGTAGCCTCCCCAAGAGAGAACAATACAAATTGTCATTATCACTGTACAAATGGTCACTCCACTTTCATCTGTGATACATGATCACACCATAAATGAGATTCTGATAATGGCCAAGTATATTCAAAATTAGAAGAAGTGACTCAGCCTGGTTAGGCACTGACCGCAATTTAAAAGGTCACATTGGTGATTTGTTTACACTTTTAAAATGTGCAGTAGTCAAAAGCAGTGAGGTAATTAACGGTAATAAAGATAGGATTTTAGCTGAAAAGGACTATAAGAGAGTTTGCCGAAATTATAAATCATGATGTAAATAAACAAAGGTTATACTGTGAACACTAGTCAATGCTCGGCTATTTTCGGAATCCCATTTATACCACAAACACGGGTTCTAGGCCAATGGATAAGCAGGAATTACATTTATACAATCAGTACAGAATAAACTAAGTGCCAATAAGAACAAGGAAAAATATGGAGAATAAAAGAAAGGATAAAAAAAAAAATGAGTTTACAAAACCTTAAAAAGAATAATGAGCACACATTAGATGTTTTATATTAGCTCAAAAGTGTCTTGTCTAGTTGAGAGGTAAGTTAAAATCACATAGGTCATACTGTAGATACAATTCAAATAAAATACCTACATTATGACGACTTCATTTAATTCATATAACTTCAATAGTTCATAAGTATTCTTGTGTAACTATTTAAGTAGTTTTTTCATAATGGTCCTAAAGAAATATAACCTTAACAGTAGAATTTCTGCAGCCAACTATTATAGATCATTTTGCAAAATAATTTCAGCTCTTTAAAACAGAAAGAAGAACTTAATTTCTCTTTAAAAAGCAAATTAGAATATAAAATCTCAAACAATAATTACCATTACAGGTTCCAAAAGTTTCCCAAAAGCATCTAATGGCTTTCGATAAGCTCTTCTAATTGGGTTATACAATTCTGTATACATTTCTGGAACATGTCTTGGTTCATTCGGTGAAAGAATTTGGTCTTTCAAGAACTTAGCTCTCCAAGCCCGTTCTTCAGAAGTCATTCCAGATAATCTTTCTCTTTCACGATACAAACGTCCTTCCAATGACATTGGTTTAACACCTCCAGTTGGTGAAGCCATGTTAAAAATGTATGAAAGAGCAAAATGAAATTAAATTCGTTAAAGAATTCAGCCTAAAGCCACGAAGGTTATGATCTAACCTTCCCCGGAGGGTTATCAAAGAATTATCCAAAGAGATCATAATAAATAATGATGATAAAATATTTTGGTGCATTTAGACACTTCACACACTAAGGGACAAACAAATACATAATTGGTTATTTCACTAGTATTTTTGTTTCTTGTCTGTGATATTTTCCATCGGATGTAGGTATCAAGAGAAACAAAATAAATAGTTTGGTTTAGCAATAATGTCCCTGTTATTTAAGTTAAATAATTGTGTTTTCCATAATTTGTGAAATGCCGACTTTAGACTCAATGTTTCTCGTACACATTTATGTGATTACATCAATAGTTTATATTAATACAATTATTGAATCAATTCTTATGAAAAAAAAACCTGTACCACTACAACCTATGGAGGGTCTTGGGTTCAGCACTACTTAGGGAAAGCATTGTTTCTAAATCAACGGTCGTGCAAGGAGGTGATTTGACCGAGATCACGCTCAACAACCAGGTTTTCTCCCTTAATTAATTATTTAACTTAGGGCACCCACTTTATAGAGACTGGGTGTGCCCCAGGAGAGTCTCCCGGAACCAGGGTCGCCCCACAGCCAACGAAACAGAATAAATAAATTTTCTACCATGAGCCGGCATTCGAACCTGGGACCTTCAGCACTGGAAGCTCATTACCCTGCCACTGAGCTACCCCTCAACTCAAAGAATTCTTCTGGAGATTCTGTAAAATAACTTACAATACATTTCTATGTAAATTGGTACATACAGATGACTTATTTCTGCTTGACTCCACCTATAAAGGCAGGATTGTCTACGAAGGAAAAAAGAACAGTTCAGTACCCGAATCTTCGATCTACTATTCGACCCATTCTGCATTCAGATAGTTTACCAGTTCCTACTCCACCCGAAAATTGTGTCTTTGAAGTAGAAAATGAAGACTGTGTGAAACAAGAAGAAGAGCCAAACAAACCTTGCACATCCCGTGACCCTCATTTTGAGGGAAAATATGATAAACCGCACAGACTGAGTCGAGCGGAATCGATTAATCTCATTAGAGATCTTGGCCTGTCAAAGGAGAAGCCAGAAATTCTTGGGCCTCGACTACATCTATATAATCCTTTCGAAAATATCAGAACCTCACAGTACAAAAAACGTCACAGGGAACTGCTCCCTTTTTTGAGAACAATAATCTTGTTGTTTTCTGCGACATTAATGGCTCGATGGAATCTCTGAATTTGAACCATGATCCAACTGAATGGAGACTATTCATAGACTCCTTCAAGTTATGTTACTCCACAATGGCAACCTTCTTTCTCCTATTCCTGTTGATCATGCAGTTCACATGAAGGAGACATATGCAAATATGACACCTCTTTTGGACTCACTCAAATATCATGAACACAAATCGAAAATCTGCATACTCTTAGGAATGCAACTGAGGTAGACAAAACATTGCTGCTTCTTATGTATGTGGGACAGTACACATAGGGAATTGCATTATATCAAAGGAGACTCGCCTGCATGAAATCTTAACCCTAGCGAGAAAAATGTCATTGGCAAGCCTCTCGTGAACCCAAAAAATATTCTACTTCCACCCCTGCATATCAAGCTGGATTTGGTGAAAAAATTTGTCAAACGTATGAACCAAGAAGGACGGGCCTTTAAGATTATAAGAGACAAATTTCTGAAATTAAGTGATGCAAAAGTTATGGAAGGCATTTTTGTCGAGCCACAAATTCGAGTATTTGTGAAGGATCCTGCATTTGACCAAGTTTTGGAAGAGTTATTTTTAAGCTGTTATTTTTTGATCAGTTGATTTTATATACCTTCACTTTTTAATTTAATAAAATAAATATACTTTTTAAGTCTATTTAAAGTACGTTTAACAAAAAAAAATACGTTTTAACAAGTAATATTGTACATATACAAAAGTAAAACATATAAATCATCCTCTTATGCAGAGCGTTTAGTGGTGGCGCATCCACGTAGCGGGCGCGTGAACTACGTGCAGGGTCGCTGCAGAACTCCCCTCCTGGATGACGGAGTCATTATGGTGTTTTTCAAGTGAAGTTCCATAAATGGTAATCCACTTCGTCACCATATATTACCCTTAGTTTTATGAGCCGTCCTGATATTGTTCTATATTATGCATTGTTTTGACTGTTGTTGGTTGTGCTTTTTAATACAGGTTTGAGTTTACTATCAGGTGAGGCAGGTAAGTAGGCAGGTTTAATTCTTTCAAGCGAGATTTTTGCAGTTCATACTGGTAGCTGTTGTAGGTAATATTTTTTTTTTCTCTTCAAGACTTTATATGGTCCTGAGTATGGCGGTACCAGAGGAAGTTTGAAGAATACGTGTGTACATGTTTCGAGGTCTTCCTGGACGAATGATTTTATAGTTGATGTTTTATTATGAGCTGGCCGTAGCTTGGAAATATTCTTTTTCAATTCTTAAAGTGCAGCGTATGGCCCATAACTGTTCTTGTTCAGTTTAATGAATTCTCCAGGTAGATGAATAGGACATCCGTCAAGAGTTTCTGTGATGCCTGACGATGGGTCGTCCCGTAGACTAGCGCGAAGACCCAGTAAAACTGATGTAATAATTTTGTCCACTGCGCGCTATTCATATAGGCGGTGATAACAGATTTTAGGTCTCTGTACCAGTGCTCGATGCAACCGTTGGATTGCGGGCGATATGCTGTCGTCCTGCATCGCTAAATCCCAAGGAGTGTCATGAGCTGCCTGAAGAGATTTGATTCGAACTGACGGTATTGGTCGGTCGTTATTCTTTAAGGTCCATCAAAACGGCATATCCACTGGTTGTAATTTTTTTTTTTTATTTAGATTTACCTACATTCCATTTTAATAGCTAGTTTGCTAGCTGGAAAGTAGTTCTATAAGAAAATCCCAAGATAAATATAATATTATCATAAGTAAAATTATTATACCTAAAAATTCAAAGACATTTAAATAAACAAACCTAAAGCGTGTCAGCTACTCGTCGCTTGGTCGCTCAAAAGTCCCCTTTAAACGGTTTTGAACAAGACAACGTAATTGATGGGTTGGCTGTTATACAATAAAAAGCTAACATAGAAGGATCCATACATTTGTTGTGTCTTTGGATAAATTAAACATCGATTATTATAACAAGGGAGGTTATTTCCCTCCTGTAGGGTATTGATTTGATTGTCAAATATGACAGTTTTCCATATGTTTAGAAAATTTTATGTTTTGTCTTTAATTGTTTGTTATTCCTTCGGTTATAAAATTGAAAAGTACCCGTTACTCATGCCTAATGTACATCCTTATGTTGTATGTGACTTTTAACATAAAAATTTATTTATGTTTATGAATCTGACTAAGCTTAAGTAATGTATTTTTTCATTCATTTGTTACTTTAGGAAGAATTATACTTATGTACTCCTGTCAGAGTCAATTACACAAAGAACTTTTACATTGTGGGTTTTGAACCTTCCGCAAGTATGAATGTTGTTCACCATATGCTTCTCTATGGATGTTCGGAACCTGGAAGTAATCTTGCCTATTGGTGAATATTTATTTCATTTGTTATTTGTTTTCTGCTAGCTTTAGACATTTTTCACTATTTTTTTTACTTGTCAGCCTGATCCAGTTGTGTTAATCTTTGGCATGTTTTCTATTTTGTTTTTATTTGCTCAATTTTATTAATATTGATTGCAACATTTTATATTTATACAACAAGGTCTATCGTTTACTGTATAATGTATTGTGATCTATAGTCTGATATAATAATTATTTTATTAAAATTTGGATGTTATTTCTGTTGGAAAATTAAATTTTTTTTTCTTATTGTTGGAAAAATTTAATAAAAACTGTACCATATAAAAAAAAGTATTATTCTCTATCTCACTTTGATTTCTCATTATATTTTTATTTGTTACCCAACCATAGGTATGTGGATATTTAATGAGAATCAGAGTTAGTTTTGAGTAGTAACGTCAAAATTATTCCAAGATGGCATCACCAAATTTAGTGAACCATGTATTGGTCGTGAGCTACTTTACCCCTCTCCCTTACATGTATTGTTACATCTATTATGAATAATGAAAACTGGAAAATTCATTAAATTGGCTACCAATCAAAAAGTTAACTGGACAAGAGAACAATAATGCACGTAAATTCTGTATAGAAATGTTTCTAATGACCAAGGATTAATAGTAAGTGGTTATTGGAATGGAAGATTATAAATAAAATAATTTTAAGGCAAAATGTAAAATTTGCTTGTTGATAAAACAAACGTTGTAACCTTTGCACAGCCTTGTAAATCAGTTTATGAAATATGGAAGAAACTAAAGGGTTCTTATGAAGATAAAGGACTAATCAGAAGATTATCTTTACTCAGACAAATTTTTCAAATCCTGTTAGTGAGCTTCTAACCCCATGGAAGAATATATATATGAAATCCTTTCAATATCTCAAAAAGTATTGCTATCGATGATGGTTTAGGCAATAGGGGTATTCGTGCAACCAGTGCTAAATATTGTAAACCTCTTACATGTTTAAACTCAAGAAAATTATTTACGAAATGTGTGTTTAATATGACCACTAGCACTCTCGATTTTAACACAGCGTAGGGTCCTGTGAAGTTGTGCTAACTTCAATATATTTTGCCTTCTGAATCATCATTCATGCTTTCCAATAAAGTATTTTTATCCAAATAATCCAGCAACTTCACTTCGCTTTGGCGTTTTAAAAATAAATCAAAACGTTAATAGATCAATTTAGAACTCTCAAAATTTGCTTAAAGTACAGGCATAACCTTATTATAACTAATGCCACTTTATCACATTAGCGTAGACAGGTTATTTACCATTCATTTAAAATTTGTGCTGACTGCTTAGCATTATAAAGCATTTACAACAAGTGCATGAATACCCCTAATAAATTTATAGAGGTGCTGATGCTGAATGAGGATTTTAAGCCTATGATAATGGGACTATAAAGTGCTGTTACAAAAACAACATCAGGGAGTATTAGAACCATGTTCCTAAAAAAAAATAACAAGAAGGATCCGAATCCCATTACTTTTTTTGACTGCCACTGCATTTTCAAAGTTTGGAAAATTTTATTTTCCATTTAAATTATTTTTCATGTTGGATCATATGCAATTGTCTTTTATCTTCCATAACCTGTCTGATGTGAGTCAGTGAAGTAAATATTTATACATTTTAATATTTTAAAGGAGGGATGATGGCGGGGAAGAAAGGCTTGGTGGGAGAAAGTAGTCAGTGGGCCGGTAGTAGTCAAGTAGTCACTATAAATTGCATTTCGTTCTGTTTCTGTTATATTTTCAAGATTTTGAATCTTCCTTATTTACTCCTTCAAAATAATGAACTAAATAAATGTTTAATTCACTAACTCCACAGAACACAGCCATTGGACTATGGACGAATGGAGTGCTGTACTTTTTACAGACGAGTCAAGATTCACTCTTACATCTCCAGACGGGCGTGAAAGGGTGTGGAGAAGAAGAAACGAAAGATATGCAGCCTGTAATTTTTCCCAGAGCCAGCCTTTCCAACGTGGTTCCTTAATGGTGTTCTCGAGCAAAAACCAGTCGTGTTACTCTGTGAGTTCTGGTCAACTCTGGTCCTCTTACTGGACGAAAAGCCATTAATCCATACTCATTTAATCTTCTCCGAGCGGTACGTTTAGAAATTTGCACACCTCGAACTTCTTCGAGCTGATGAATCGCTTGAACAACGGTAAGGTGCCCGTTTCGTAAAATTCTCAAAGTCAAAAACCGGTCATCCCATGGTTCTGTTACCCTAGGCCGTCCAGAACTGGGCCTTCTATTGTAAGAACCAGTTTCCTGAAAACGCCTGACGGCGTCTCGTAAAGTTTCATATGGAACTCCGATGGCATTTGCTGCATATCTAATGGAACGTCCATCATCAATAAGTGCCACACCATGCGCAACATCCTCAGCACTAAGAGGCATTTTTAAACTTAATATTGAAAAAATTAAAAACCGGAGACTAAGAAATGTGATGCAAGAAACGGCACTGAACTAATGATGCTGAATAAACATTTTGATTCCATAGAAAGTAAACATTGGAATCTAGAATCATTTCATTTAATTAAGGATTAAGGGTTATTGTCCTCTATATTAACATTCCTAATTGAAAACAAACAAAAAGATTACTTATTTATTCATTAAAAACAATAGACCAATCCAAAGCAGAAATATTTTTAGATGAAAACATGAAAAAATCAAGTGGGTGGGATTTTTTGTCTGTTAGTGTATATGACAATCTTGTAGAAGCATATGTAGGTAGGTATAAACCTTAGTGTAATAAATATAGTGATTGTACCACCTGCATTAAGGGCAAACAATGCAGAGAACCATTTGGAAAATTCAAAGAGGTCAAAGGGAAACTTGATCTGATATTTTTGGACCCACATTTGTTTCTATGTGGATTTTTTCTTTACTTTTATGAACGATTTTATTAGAAAAGCTTTTGTTAGCTTATGAAAAATAAATATAAAGTTTCGGATAAATTTAAGGGACCTAAATTATTAGTGGAAAATCAAGTGAACAAAAAATTTAAATTCTCAGAAGTGGTAATGGTAAAGAATTTTTTTTTTTTTTTTTTTTTTTTTTTTAGAAATATTACATTCTGTCACATCAAGGACATTTATAATAGTGTTCAGAGAAAGCACACTCACACTCTATTTACAATTAAAAAAAAAATAATAATACAGAAACTTAATAATAATAAATACAATAAAATAAAATAAAAATAAATACAATAAAATAAAATAAATGTATATAAACAAAAGAACTAACCTAATCATACACACTCGGGCTTGAGTGGAGGATCTGGCCATTGCCAAAACTCCAATAGATGCTTATTTACAAAAGGTCTCTGGGCCACTGCCGCCTCAACCTTCGAGGAGGATTGTAAGGATGGGTGGTGCTGGATAGAGATTGTGCAAGGGGATTTGGATGATAGGTAAGGTTCTGGTGAAATTTGGAGAATTTTTCTGGAATAAGGTCTAGGACAAATGGGATATTAAGGTCATGGTGTAGGATTTTGTTATTTACATAGAACGGGGCATCAACTATTGTTCGAAGGACTTTAGATTGAAAGGATTGAATACGTTTGATGTTAGAAGCTTTTGCTGTCCCCCACAGTTCAAGTCCGTATGTCCATATAGGTTTCAGTATTGTCTTGTAGATAAGTAATTTGTTTTCAATAGAAAGTTTGGATTTTCTGTTTAGTAGTCTGTATAGCTGGCCGTATCGTCGGTTGAGTTCTTGTCTTTTGAGTCTAGTATGTGGGTTCCACCTTAGTCTTCGGTCTAAATAAAAGCCAAGATACCGGACCGTGTCTGAGTAAGGAAGCTGGATGGAATTAAAGTGTACTGGTGGACAGGAACTGCGTCGGAGTGTAAAGGTAATGTGTTGGCATTTAGATTCATTAACTTTAATGCGCCAGTTATTACACCAGTGCTCAATCAAGGTGAGGTGGTTTTGGAGATTTAAGGATGCTATTTCGGGATCAGAGTTGGATGATAAGATTGCGGTGTCGTCAGCGAATGTTGCAAGAAAAGTATCGGGATGAACAGGGATATCAGCAGTAAAGAGGATGTAAAGCACGGGACCCAAGACGCTGCCTTGGGGAACACCGGCTTTAACGGAGTAGATATTGGAAAATTCTGTTCCACAGCGAACTCGAAAGGAGCGGTCAGAGAGGTAGGATCGGAGGACTAGGTACAAGGACTGAGGTAAATGGATTTTAAGCTTGGAGAGCAGTCCGGAGTGCCATACCCGGTCAAATGCCTGTGCAATGTCCAGAAAGGCACCCGAACAGTATTCCTTGTTTTCTAGGGCTGAGGAAATATGATCAACAACTCGGAGTCCTTGTTGAACAGTAGAATGTTGAGAGCGAAAACCAAACTGATGGGAAGGGATATTTTGGGATTCTATAATGGGTAGGATTCGTTTCAAAAGGATCTTTTCAAAAATTTTTGAAAGGATTGGGAGTAGGCTGATTGGTCTATAGGATGTTGAGCTATTGAGAGGTTTTCCTGGTTTTGGGAAAAGGATAATAGTGGAGTGTTTCCATAACAGAGGGAAGTGGGTGGTGCGTAGGATACAATTGTAGATATATGTAAGGAATATGACTGCTTTGGATGGAAGTTGTCGAAGGATTTGAGATGTAAGGAGATCATGTCCAGGAGCTTTACGGGGGATTAGTTTTTTTAATTGAAATTTTACTTCGGAAGGATGAATAGCTTTTGGGGGCAAGGAAAGTGGGATTGGTGATGTAAGGAGTTCTTCTACTGTTACGGTGTGGGCAGGATGGGATTCCGGATGTGAAATAAATGTATTGGATAGGTGAATGGCGAACTCCTCAGCTTTATCTTCGTCAGATGCTGCCCAGGAGCCATCACCTCGTCGGAGAGGATGTGAAATGCGGTGAGGATTTAGGATTTTTGTTGTGGTTTTCCAAAGGGAATTGTCGCGAGAAGAGAGGGAGGATAGGTAGGAGTTGAAGGATTGTGATCTGAAGGTGGCTAATTCCAGTTTTAATTGTTTGCAGTAGTAATTATAGGAGCAGCGGTCGGTAGGATGTCGGGTACGTTGCCATAATAATCTGGCACGGCGTTTGGTGCGGATTAGGTTAAGGAGGTGTTGGGGTAGAATGGTCTTTATAGGAATTCTGGAGGAGTCTTTTGGAAAGGAGGCAGTCCAGGCGGCTTGTTGGATTGTGGTAGTAAAGGAATTTACGGCACTATCAAGGTCATCGGGAGTTTTGAGGGATATGTTGAGATCAATATTATCGGAGATTATTTGGCGGAAAAGGTCCCAGTTTACTGGGCCCCTAATGAATGACGGTGGAGAAGGTTTGGGAACAGGTTTAAGTGAAACATTAAGGATTAGAGGACTATGGTCAGAGGAAAGTTCATTTAGACGTGTAATGGAACAATTGAGGGGACTTAAGCCGCTGTGGATAAAGAAATCAAGAAGATCAGGATTACGGTTGGGATCTGTGGGCCAGTAGGTAGGAGAGTTGGGGGAAAGGAGGTGAAAACGTTGGGAATTGAGTGCAGACAGCAGGGTTCGGCCACGAGAATTCGTGGTTCTGGAACCCCATTGTTGGTGCTTGGCATTTAGGTCTGCACCCAAGATGAAGTGATGTCCTAAGGAGTTGAGGAGAGAACTGAATTGGGCATTGGATATGGATCGGTTAGGAGGGCAATACGCTGATGCAAGAGTAACCGGAAAGGAGAAGGTTTTTATCACGATAGCGGTGGACTGTAGGAAATCATGTATTGGTAATGGGAGTACGTGATGGGAGAGGGATTGGTGTACAATTACAGCAGTACCGGCATGTGCTTTTCCGTCAGGGTGGTCAGTACGATATGTCAGGTATTGTGGTATATTGAGGTGCTGTTTAGTGGTTAGTCGAGTTTCAGTAATTAGTGCCACATCAATGTTCTTGTCAAGTAGTAAAGTAGATAGTTCGTCTATATGATTTCTAACACCATTCGCATTCCAAAGGAGAATGGATATGGGTTTAGGGATGTGAGTCATTTAAGGATTTTTCAAAGGAGGGATGAGGTGAGATACGAGATTCGTGAGGAGTGATATGAGTGGAGTAACAAGGGATTTGAAATCGGTGAGGAAAGATGCTAACAAACTTGTGAGATCTGTTGCATTTGAAGGAGGAGGAATATGAGGAATTTGTTGTTGGTGGTTAGGTATATTAGGATGAAAAGGATTTTGAGGTTGGGGTTGAGGTTGTTGTTGTGGCAGGGCTTGACATTTATCGGTTAAAGTCTTACCTCTAAGTAGTTGGGAGAATGATACATCATTGTTTACAATTCTAGAAGGCTCTCTCTCTCTTCTTGTTCTTAGTGCTTCATCTTGAATCCGGTTTTTCTGGTGTCTGGTTTTGAGATTCTTGTAAATTTGGCAGCCTTTGTAGTTGGCCGGGTGTCCCTCCAAACATAGGGCACATACTGCTGGATCTTGTATAGGTTTGGTGCACTCTACAGATTTGTGCTGTTCACCGCACTTCACGCAACGCGGCAAATGGTGGCAATATGACTTCGTGTGGCCATAGGTCTGACAATTATGGCACTGCACGATGTCTCTCTTGGGATATGGCTTCTCAACTTTCACCATTGTGTAGTATATTCTTGTGATATCATATATTTTTTCGATACCTGGTGATGGCTCCAAGTCCACGAAAAACAATGGTAGTGGGATCCTATTTCGTAATCCTGGCTGCTCTCTGTCCTCCTTCAAAACGTTTGTTACCTGGCGTACATTGAAACCAAGCGTCGTTAGTTCTTCTTTAATAACTTCAGTGGGGGTTGAGGAGTGTAAATTTCTTATCACTACTCGTAAAGCTCTTTCCTGCCTCAGCTGGTAAGTGTGAAAATTCGCATTTGTTTCTGATAAGTACTTCACTATTTTTCGGTAGGCTTCTGCAGAATCAGGTGTTATTTTGGTGTCATTGGTCCTGTTAAGGCATGAATAACTGCCAGAGCAGATTTTATTTAGTTGGGTGCAGAACATCTGGAAATTTTTTATATTTTTCACAAATATCGGAGGAGGCTTTGGTTCTCTGGGTATTGCTGCAGACTCCATTACTTCTCTGTCATTTTGAAGCACTTGGTAGGGGTTTGGAGTAAAGAAAGGTGATTCTTCAATCGTTTCTTGTGCAGACGTACCTGGTTGGGGCTGAGGTTCTGGTTCTGAAGTGTTCATTTTGGTCACTGGAGGTATATCTCGTAGGCAGCGACGAGTCCTTTGTTTGGCTGGTGAGCTAACTCCATCTGACCGAGACCTCTTGGGCACCTTACTGGCCATCACTTGCTGATCATACCGCATATCATAAGAGAAAAAAAATAAATAAATAAAAAAAAAAAAAAAAAAAAATATTTTTTTTTTTTTTTTAAGATAACAAAAAAAAAAGATGCCAACAGTAAATATCAACTGCTCTGATATACACTTTAACTGTATCACGTGAATAATCAGAGAGATTCCGCTATAAAATTGGTAAAAACTGAGAGAGGAGTTGAGGAGACAACCTTCGCATCAGCTCAATGGTAAAGAATGCGTAAATTTTAGATTTGAAAAATTTCTTATAGAAAATGGAATCATTCACCAAAGATTAGCACCATATACTTCAAACCAAGATGGAACATCAGAAAAAGTTAATAGATCTATTATTGATAAGGCAATAACTGTATTGGAGGATTCTGGTTTAGGAAGAAAATATTAGGAGTCCAATTAACGTGCTTCATGGAATGACTCCAGAAGAAGCATTTAAAGTAAAACAGTAAATATATCCTATTCAAAAGTTTTCTAGTGCTAAACCATAAAATTTATTATAAATGCAAATAGGAAGAAATTTGATGCAAAGAGTGAAGAATCTTTGTTATGTTTAGTGAATAATCAAAGGCTTGATCAACCTTAAGAATCCATGAAAGTATATTATTTCAAGGGATATTAAGTTTCTAGAAGATATTTCAGGTGTAGATATCAAACCATTTGGTCAATCAGCTACTGAGGACTTATCTGAAAACAAGACTAATGAAATATTATTAATAATGAATCAGAATTTGGTTCCGGGGTATAATAAAGAACAGTTAAATGAAGTACAACAGCCACCTGAAATTAAAAAAAAAAAAGAATTCCAGGATGAGTCGGATTAACTGTTTTTAGGATTTTAGATACATTAAGGTGAAGAAAAAACTCCAGCACTTAAAATACCACAATGTAAAAGGACCTTAAAATCTTGGCCAGATGATGAGCTCAACTTTACTCAATCCGATTGCTAAAATTTGAAGCCTATAGAGGTTTTAAGATGTCCAGGAAAGACAAATTGGGAAAAGGCTAAGCCTATTTCTTTATCCATGGAACGTAGGATGGACTTCATCTAAGAGAACCAGAAGACTGAAGATAAAGAAAAACTCAGATTAGAATTTAGTAAAGAAGAAAGTTTTGAAGACCTTTTAGGCTTTTGGGACGCCAGTTAAGGAAATGAAAATTATAGTAGATATTCAATGACTGGAAGTTGCTTTTTTTAATTGAGAGCTCTGTCATCAAAAAAACAAGAACTACAAACAATTACTTTATCCACATGCAAGGCAATTATGTGGGTTTATCTTTAGTTGTGTAAGAAGTAAGTTAGTTAAAAACTTTGATTCTTGAAATTGATACTAATATAATGAAGAATACTAAAAAAATTCATTGTGATAACACAAGTGCCATAAACCTAGCTAAAAATAACATTGTGAATCAATAGTCAAAACACATCAATATCAAACATAATTTTATTCAAGAGCATGTTTTCAACAATAACTTTAATGTAAACTATATCCAGGAAAAAAACAGAACAGTTTTTCTAAACCAAACCTTTAATTGAGTTGCATCATGATAAATTTGTGAAATTAATTTATTTTGTAAAAGAAAAATTATTTTTGCTTGGGATAAACTGGATTTATAAGAGGTCAGAAAATAAATATTATTTATTTCGGTTGTAAAAAGTTAATAAAAACTCGACCAAATACCAAATGTTGAAAAAAGTTTTCTCCTCAATTTGACTTTTATTTATCATTATAATTATAACCCACAATTTTCATGTATGTTTAACATATCCAAATGTTTTCATAATTCTTTCCTCATCTTCAGGGATACAGTTAAATTATTTGTAGTATTTTCTTATTTATATCTAGGAATTCCATTTCCACTTTGCCATATCTCCTCCATATTTTTATCCATATTCACTCATATTTCCTAATACGTTTTTTTACAGTTTCCAACTAATCTTCACTTTACCTATTTCTTGTTTAATATACATGTCCAGGCTGGAAGTAAAATTGTCTATCGAATGAGTCTCTATAAAAAAAAAAAATTAAATAAATTTAAAAATAATCTTAACTTATATCTTGTTTTTCCCCCAGTAATAAAGCACCTTTTTTTTTTTTCATGTTAATTTTATATTTTCAGGGATTGTGGAGAGATGGTTATTGATAATGGTATTCGACAAACTTTTCATCCTTGTAAAAAAGGCTCTCAAGTAAGTATTATTTTTTAAAAATGTAATACATGAATTAAAAAAAAATTAAACAAATTTTATGCTCAATACTTATTTATTTATTTAACGGCTCGACAGGCGCCTGAAGCTGCCCTTGGCCCTCTCAACTGCCCTTTTCCAATCATTTCGGTCAGCAGCATGTCTGCTGGATACTCCCACCATCATCAAGTCCTCAGCCACGGAGTCCTTCCACCATTCCTTCGGTCTTCCACGTGGTCTGACTCCATCCGGGGTTCCATAATATAATTTCCTCACGGCTCTACCTTCATCCATTCTGATAATATGTCCCAGCCATTTTAAGTGTTGAATTCGCACGAAATGAGAAACTCAGAGATCGTCGAATAAGTCGTAGATCTCTTTGTTCTTCCTTAAATGCCATGTACCATTCTCTCTAACTGGCCCCATGATGCGCCTCAACACTTTTCTTTCAAAACTGTCAATCTTTTCAGCCAGACTTTTGCGTAGGGTCCAGGTTGCACTGGCATAGGTCATTACAGGTCGGATGATTGTTTTGTATATAATAATTTTGGTAACCCTACTTAGTAGTTTTCTCCGGAGGAAACTTCTTAGGGCAAAATATGCTTTGCTAGCCCCCATTACTCAATTTTGAATTTCTTCTTCTTCATCAACCTGATCATTAACGATGGAGCCAAGGTACTTAATTTAAAACTGGACACGCATTGAAACGCATATTGTCCCACTACATAATGCTTAGGCGGATTTATAGGTGTTTTCTTCCTGAGCACCATAATTTTTGTTTTTTCCTCATTTATGGATAGCCCCATTCTTCCAGCTTCTCTTTGAAACCTTTCACAGGCCTCCTTGATCGCCTTGAGGGACAGTCCAATCACCACCACATCATCCGCATATCCAAGCACTTGAGTCATTTTACTAAAAATGGTGCCTGACTGACTAAGCTCTGCTCTATTCACCACAACTTGGAGGGCGATGTTAAATAGAAGTGGAGAAAGGGGTCACCCTGTCTAACTCCTGACTTCACTGCGAAAGGTTGGCCCAGCTTCCCATTTATTTTCACTCGACTCGCGCTCTCATTCAAAGTACACGATACAAGTCGGATTAGCTTCGGTGGAATTCCCATCTCTTCCATTGCCAGGTAGAGCTCTTTCCTGATAATGGAATCATATGCTGCTTTAAAATCGATGAAAAGGATCCATATAATCTTGTTGAATTCTTTTGTTTTCTCCATTATTTGTCTTAAAGAGAATATCTGGTCAATAGTTGACCTATTCCTCCTGAAAACTCTCTGGTAATCGCCCAACTGAGGTTCCACAAAATCCACAATTCGATTATATAAAATAACAGAAAATATTTTGTTAGCAGTATTCAGGAGGCTAATTCCCCGATAATTATTACAGTCTGTGGGAGCACCTTTCTTCTTGAGTAAGGGAATGATGACAGATTCCTTCCAGCTATCTGCCATTTTTTCAGTCTCCCAGATATTAACTATCAGATGAGTCAACTCCTCAGCCAGTGCTGACCCACCAATCTTCAAAAACTCAGCTGGTATGCCATCTGAATCGGAAGCCTTGTTATTCTTAAAATTGTCAACAATCAGGACAACCTCATCTAAATATGGTGGGCTCACTTCATGGTCATTCTCAGTGTATCGAAAATCCTTATCAGGAGACTCTTCATCATCCCTAGGGTTTAGCAATTCCTGAAAATGTTCCATCCATCTACCTTGCACATCTTGATCCTGGAAGACCATTTTCCCATCAGAACGCTTTATCATCGGGCAGTTATTTATAAAACCTGATTTTATTTTGTTTATTTCACCGAAAAACTTTCTGGCCTCATTGTTCCTACTGTACTCTTCCACCTTACGCCAATTTTCCTGTAATGCATATTTTTTCTTTTGCCTCAGAACCTTTTTTGCATTAGCTCTGGCTTCCTGGTACTCCTTTCTGATCTGTCTAGTATCCCTGTTTAGAAGTTTTTTCCTCTTTTCGTTCTGCACATTGACTGCTTCTTCACACTCCATGTCAAACCACACATTTTTTAGTTTTCTGTTTCCATCCCTCTTACAATGTTGGTCAGCTGAATCAGATATAGCTTTTCTAATTTAGTTCCATTCCTCATTCACATCTCTTTCTCCAATTACAGCTGGGATGTTACCTACACAACTTTCAACGTCTCTCAGGAAAGCATACCTTATTTCCTCTTCCTTTAACTTTTCTCTTGCCCAGGTGATCTGTGGTTTTCTCCTTTCAAACATTCTTATCTTATATGCATGTTTGATCTTTGCAACTACCAGAAAATGATCAGAAGAGATGTCTGGTCCCCTATATGATTTCACATCTATATTAATTTCACATCTATATATTAAAATGTCTACTAGAGACCAGAACGTGATTTTGTGTTGCAGTTTCATTTGGTGGCATCCATGTTTGCTTGTGTTTTTCTTTGTGAGAAAAAACTGTACGCATCGCTACTAGTGATCTAGATGCAGCAAAACTAATCATTTGTTCTCCATTGTTATTTGTTTTCACATGCAAGCTATGTTTGCCAATGGTAGGGATAAACACTGGTTCTTTACCAACCTGAGCATTAAAATCACCCAAAACAATTTTCATATCAAAGGAGGGGGAAGCAGCTATAATCCGTTCTAAATCTTCATAGAAAATGTCCTTTTCTTCCTCATCTTTTTCTTCTGTTGGGGCATGAACATTTATCAAAGTGATATTAAACTTTTTCCCCTGAATCCTTAACTTTCACAACCTTTTGTTAATTGGTTGGAAATCAAGAGCTGCTTCCTCATTCTCCTTGATACTATGAAAGCTGTACCGAACTCATGTCTATCCTGGTCTCCACTGTAGAAAATATCAAAATCGTTTCCTTAACAGCAGATATATCTAAATTTAATTGTTGCAATTGTTTTTTCAGTTCCGTCCATGCTCCAGGACTATAGAGTGATCTTACCTTCCGTGTTCCAACTTTATAAGCCAAATGACGAGTTCCAGGTCGTTTACATAAAACCGTCCGAAATCCGAGGCTAGACTGTTGAGAATAAGTAACCTGTGTTTTTTTATAAAAGGTGGGTAGTCAGCCCCCCTTTAATCCTCCTGCTTTATCCGGGCTTGGGACCGGCAATGAAGTCTAGTTAACTAACTCCACAGGTGCAGTTATGCTCAATACTTAATATCTATAATCATATATGTCTGGTGATACGAAAGGTGCAAACAAAATTAATGTTCACTCAAATACAATTGATAATTGTATTTACCAGTTGATAATAACTCTATTTATTTTCAAGTGAATCGGATCATTTATAATAAAATGTTTTAACATAGGGCTTGGAAAAAAAACATATTTTTACATTTTTAGAATAAATAAATACAGAAGTTTTTTTCCAACAACTGTTGTTGTTTTTTTAGTTTTAAATGAAAATTTTATTTAGTAATATTGGCCTACCTTGATCATTAATCGCTGCTTGGAGACTTGAGGCATACTTCTTCTTAGCATTTTGATACAGTCTAGTGGAATTATTCTTGCAGTTCATACTCTCATAAGTTTTCACTAGAAGGTCCTATAAATTTTCAATAGAATTTAGTTCTGATGATTAACAAGGCCAACACAAATGTTGAATTTCTTGTTCTTGTAACAATTCATTTACAAATCTAGATCTGTAAAGTCTAGCATTATAGTCCACAAGAACAGCTTTTTTGCCAATCATTTAGAACATAACCTCTACTATTGGAGTAAAGAAATTATCCAAGTCAGATAATTATAGATTCATTTCTTAACTCCATATACTTTGTTAGAATATATAAAGAAATATCCTCCATTACTGTAATTGAACATCTTCCAATAGAATAAACAAGCAACACCATAGAACAATGATCACTCTCTAGACCTTTTAATTTTTTCTTGTCTTAGATTATGATGATGTGTAGATTTAGAATTTTTTGTGAAAAAATATTTATCTCAGTCATCTTCATTCAATGAGATAGATATAAATTGAAAAAATCTGGTGCTCTTTTCTTAGCAGAAATAAGTATTTTCAAACAAAGGAGAAGTGAAAGTAAAAATTATACACGCTATAATTATTTATATTTCATTGTGGGTATTTTTATTTGTATGAGTACCCTTATATATACAAATTTTAATATTTAAAAGTGTAATCTATGCAATGAAATATTAAATAATATCAACAATAGCATTTATGAAAATCGCATATATATATTTATATAATATTGTCGGAGTCCGTATATTAAGCTCATGTTATGTATGGAAGCCTGTTATAATCTTTCGGGCAAGCTCGGGTGCGATCAATTACAACTATTCTCCGTTATTATTTTTTATTGCTCCTTTAGTTAATTATCAAATTCTTTCATATTTTATATCTAACTATCTTTTATATTAGAGATAAATGTGAAATAGTCAATTGTTTCAAATAAAAAAAATTAAAGGTACTTTAGAGGAAGCTAATATTGAAAATTAGCCATTTAAGCCCTGTTAGAGAACATCAATCAGAATAAAAACTATATTTTATTTAAAACTGTTTAATTTTAAACTGATATAGCCTTAAATTTTCAAGCTTGAAAAATTTAGCACATACATAAAAATAAAATTTAAAGAGACATGAGCTATGATTAGTTACGAATTTTTACAAAAGATCCACTTTCACATTTTATTAATTAAAATTTGTCAATTCAATAAGCAATCCTTGGAGAGAAAAGATGTGGGAGGGGCATCAAGGTCACTTTTTTTCTTATATCAGGAAAACTATGTGTATTAGTATTAAGGACATTCTATGAAATTAGAGGTGGCATGATTACTAATAGGATTAAATATATTAATTTTCCTCTATCCATAATAGTTACTGACAGAGGTCAAAGCTCTAATGTAACTGTTTTAATAAGTTCATGAATACTATAGCCCTAATACCAATGCCCTTCAGTGTGGCAGACTGTATTAATACTCAATCAAATATATAATAAGTTCCATTTTAACAGTTTCTGTAAAACCTTTTAGGAATAAAAGTTCTAAGGAATATTTTGGTAATAAAGTTCTAGGTTTATGATAAAAGTTTAACTTTTATTTATTAAAGTTCTTAAAAAAAAGTTATGTTAAATGAGAAATAAACAGTAATTGGGATTAGATTAGAGTGATTATTTGTCTTAAATGAATTACAAATGATCCAGGTGTGTCATTTTTTTGGTAGCTAAGAATAAATGTCGTTTCTTAGACAGAGAAAAAAAAAGTCATTTTTCAGACATAGAAAAAGACCATTTTTTTAGAAATCAACAGAACTTTTAAATAAAAATAGTAAAATTGGGAAATAAATGTTTAAAACAAAAGGTGAGATAGTGATATTCGAATAATAATCTTTTTGCTTAAAAGTTTAATGAAACATCAATTATTTTTGTTAACATATTGTTTTTTACCAAAACCAATTTTTTTCTTTATAATAAATACAGTTTAAGATACTTTATTGTAACATTTATTTAAATGTATACCTTATGTTAACATAAAAAATTTTAGAGAAACTTAGTTACTTTTTTAGAGAAAGCTCAACAACTTAAAGATAAAATAATCTTGTTCCCCGCTCAAAGAGAACCACTTTCTCTAATACCACCTCAGTTTCCTGTGAAAACAGCATCAATATAACCTCAACCTTATAAAACCCATTAAAAAAGAAGAAGTTATACAAAAAAACTAAGATACCTGGCTCTTGAAACGATCGCTGAACATTATCCAAGCCCTCCGTGGATTCATGTGTTCACACCGATGGGTCTGCCAAACTGGCAACACACAATGGAGGGGCAGGTGCATACTCTCAACTGTTTGCTATTTGAAACCGGTAGGGAAATGCGCCTCAAATTTCGACAGCGAAATAAGAGCAATTTTAATGGCACTGCAAGCCTTGTCACACTTAGATGCCAAAAATTTCGTATTGTTTGTGGATTCAAAGGCGGCTATATTCTTGCTGTGTAATAGCGAAATGACTCTTTTGCTGAGAATATTCTGAAGTGCCAAAAGATCATAGAGGAACTACTTCTTCGAGGAACAGAGGTATTCTTTCAGTGGATACCAGGTCACTGTGGTCTCCATGAAAATGAAATGGCTGATAAACTCGCCAAGGAGGGATCCACATTGAACCAGCCAGAAATATCATATCAGTGAGCCAAAAAAGAAATAAATAAGGCCAGTGAGGCTCTATTACTGGATTCTGTAAAGAGCTGTATTGTGGAAAAGCAGTGGAGAAATTTGTTTAATGAAGTGGATCACGTTCCCATGAACCTACCGAGAAAGGAGGCTGTGGCAGAGTTCCGGATGATAACAGGCCACGACTACCTTAGGAAGCACCTGCATAGAATAGGAGTGGCAGACTCTCCACATTGCGACCTATGTAATTCGGGAGCACATATGAACGCAGCGCATTTAGGTGTATGTTCGCACTTGTTGAACATAAGAGATACCATGTCGTCTAATTCAGAATTGTACTGTGCTACAAGATCTCTGATGGCGGAAGCCAATAAAGAGAGGTATAGTTTAAAAAAAGAAGAAAAAAAAAACATCAAAAATTTTAATGTTAATATATATTAATGATGAGAAGGAGTTAGTCGAGGGTGTGGTCAAATAAATAAAAAATTAAAATATATTAATTATTTTAATTAATATAATTTAATATATTTTAATTTTTTATTTATTTGACCGCACCCTCGATTAACTCCTTCTCATATTATATCAACGGTCAACCATCTCTACATCATTATATATTAATGATATTTATATTTATATAATCCCACAACTTTTCACAACTTCTACTTTTAGAAATGACTTAAGAGTCCACACAGATCATGTTATTAGGATGGATTTTTCGGCTAACTATTATATATTTTGTTTTATCTACAGTGACTTGTAGTGCTATTTGCTCTGCTTCTCTTAACGGAGTCCGGGTGAGTCTCTCAATATCCTCTTGATTGCTTCTGGTGCAGCATATATATATAGTAATGTAAATATTACATAGTGATTTTAAATAGTGGCGTGAGAGCAGTGACGTCACGAACTACTATCAAGGAATGGACAAAGAGGCGGAAAAAGACAGATGGAAGGGGAAGCAAGGGCTCTATGTGAGAGGAGAAAGTGAGCAGCTGGCAAGGAAAGATCATCGAGACCGTAAGAGAGTGACAGGTAACCAACAAGTAGTGAATGTCTAGATGAAGACAGGAAAATAGAACATTAAGAGAAGACATTTATATTAGTTGAATACAACAATACCTTCAACAAAAATTGGAGGAAGATTCACTGCAGAACAGGGTGAGTGCAAATTTTAATAGTAACAATCACAAAGCGCGCCAAGAGTAGACCCAGATAAAACTGAATGGGAATTCATAAATTTTATATACAATTAATGTATGTTTTAATATTACATATTTGAGGAAAGTGTGCTTAATTGTCTCTACCCAACCTGAGAAATAATTTGTAATCTTTAAAATAATTATTGTTTGAAATAATATAATTTTTGTTTACTTTTCAATGGAAACATAACCTAACAATATATATATATATATATATATATATATATATATATATATATATATATATATATATGTATATATATATATAAGTAAGTTCTTAATTTGACTATTGTTAGCAATGAATTTCAATTAGTAGCATGCTTTTTCTTCCTTCCTTCTTTGACTTCAATAAAACTATGCATATTTGAGTTTTTTTCATCCTTTCAAACTGTTATGTTTTACAATCTTTTCACATAGGTTTTACAGTTACAACTGATTAGTGATATGAGAAATATACAAGCATCATTTATACAGCAGCCAATTGTGTAATTGTAATTTTATAGATTACTTGTCCTGCAAGTAGGTTTGGTAATCCTTTTAGTTTAAAATTTATGTCTATATAAAAGGTCGCCATCCTTTTCTCTCTGTCTTGGATCACCAAATTTGATGTTAAAATACTGCCACAAAATAAATATTAACTGAACAAGGTTCATATTGAACCTTAACCATTTTGGAATCCTTATCCCAACCTTTATATTTTTATATATGTTAACCAGAAATTTTTTTAAACATTTAAAAACTATCAAAACCTAAAACTGCATTGCAAAACATAATAATAAATAAACAATAAAAAAATAATTATTGACCATCTAAAAATTTTATTTTAGTCATTCAAGATCACAAGACTAACTTAATTGATGCTATGATTAAAAAATATAGAAAAGATGTCTTCATTTTTTTCCAGTAAAGGATTAATAGTTATTATGAGTTTTCCCTTTGGTTTTTAAACATCTGAGTTGTTTATTTATAAATTTTATAATTACAGATCATATATGCATGGGCTAGGGATGCACCTAAATTATCATTACCAAAGGATATGGGATTCAAAGTTGGAGGTGATTCACCGATACAATATCTGGTTTTACAAGTTCATTATGCCCACATTGACAGTTTTAAAGGTAAATGTTTTACCAGCTGATCAAATTTTATATAACACTTCTTTTATGGTTTATTTTTGTCTTATTTGTATGCTATAGAAACAATAATCCTTGGGTCAGAATTTTTGTTCAATGTTCTTCTCTTATAGCTCTTATATTTTAATTTTCTGTGATTAAATTTATTAATAAAATTGTTTAGTATTTTTATTGATCAGGGCAAGGTTTTTTTTTGTTTTTATATTTGTAAATTTTATATCAAAATATTTAGGAATTAAGTAAATAAATGAGAGTGAGATTCATTCATCAAAATATGGTAATGCAAACATTAATGAAGTATGAGTGGTTATTATGTTTTGTAAATTTAATGATTTATCACATAATATACTTTCAGTATTTATTTAATTAATCTCCTTTATGATCTACACACCTTTGCCACTGATTTGGAAGCTTAGACATTCCTTGTTCTTAAAAAGTTAAAAGTAAGTTGTTAGTCAGTTGTGATGATGAAATGTGGACCTTGCACTATACTCAAGAGTTGCAGGTGGCGAATATGGATTGGTGAAAGAAGGATGAAAGCTACCCAGTTGTGGCGAACATTTTAAACCTTTTTAGTAAATGTGCATAATTATTAATCAATCCAGTATATACCATATTCACTCATATATTTTACATTCAATGCTGAAAAATTCAACTAAATCATTACAATTTAATATAACGTATATTGTTTTCCATTTTTATAAAACACATAAAATGATTCGAGAATTTTAAGGGAACATTTCTTTCTATGGAATTTCTGCTACTTTCCTTTAATATTTTACAAATATTTGACAAGTTGTTTGATAATTGGTTGGTTGACTTTTCTGCACTCAATTTCCTACTGGCCACAATAATTGATTTCAAAACCTTCTTCTCTTCATATCAGTGGTTTATTGTCTTCTCCACTCTTTTTTTGATTCCTTGGGACTTTTCTTTCTTCCAAGTGCAGAAATGAATACCTTGTATCAGACTCAAGATTTATTTATTTATGTACAAGTGACTTTCAATATATATAAAAATAATTATAATATAAATATCACCTTATCCTATTTTTTTTTTAAATCTGGTGTGGTGCACCACAGCTTTCACTTACCAACCTACTTTCAGTAGATAATAATTTTACATGAATTAATAAATTTTAACAATATTGTTTTAACTATTATATAAATATAAAATATGGTAATTATTTGCATTATATATTTTTGGTTTATCAAACTAAAAGTTAATTAATTAAAAATCATTTGAGCCATTTTTGAGAATATTGTAAAATCAGTGTTATTTCCTGGTAGTACATTTTTGTATAAAAGTTCATGTAATATCATAGGCATATATCTGCTTTAAATAAGTAATATCACTTTCATATTACTTTTTTTTTTTAATTATGCTCTTCATACATACACACATACAATTTTATGAGACTGGGTTATTTGTGCTTGGGAGACCTTAAAAGATGTATTTCCATTGAAAACTTAGATTCATAATTTTTCATGATAGTAATACTTTCTCTTACTATATATTTCATACAAAGGTAATTGAATGTAAAAATAAAAGTTTAGTATTATTTTTATATTTACTTTTTTGGAAATTTTTTCATATTATGTTTTTTTATTATATGTTGGTATATTGTAAATTTATTTGCCATTTGTCTCAATAGGTTTTTTTAATTTCCATATTTGTCTTTAAGAAGAAAAATAATGCTACAAAAGGCTCAGTCAGGATAAGGTCAGCAAAAGTACCTCAGAGAGCTAAATGGCTGATAACTAACACAAATCTACATTCTCTCAAGAAATTCCTTTGAGCTTCATAAACTATCAACAGAAATGTTAGACTTATGCTCCAACATTGGGAACGCAGCATTCAGGAAAATATTTTAAAAAATTGGAGAAAAACGACTATAATTCTACAGAATGTTTTAGCTGGACAAACCAAAGTTATAGAATATATTTTCCTAAGCCATATTGACACTCCTTATTTCTTATTAAGCTTTTCAAAGTGGTGCTACAGGTTGAAATTTTTTATTTCTTGAAGTTTAGCTCAGTTTATTCAGGTTAAATTTGCCTTTATTGGAAAATAGGATTTTAAATATAGTTCAATATACATCAGAATGAAAATAACCCATTATCATATCAAATGTAAAAAAAAAAGTTAAATTTAACAAAAAGAATATTTTAATTTTCATATTATAGTTCAGAAAGCTTCACGCATGCTTCATCATCCTGTCTTGTGGAATGGCAGAGTTCTAAAAGAAAACAAGCAAAGAATCCATCCTAACGTATGTAGCTGAAACCTGCATCATGTCATCCAAACTCTATTCAAAGGTACAAAGCTGTGGAGATGGACTTTTAGAGGAGATGCCAACGTGTGACAAGAATGGACAAAATTAGAAACTAGGTCATTAAGGACAGGATGGAGGCTCCTATGTCTGTCAACCAGAGGATTTAACAGCGAAGTTAGTTAGAAAACGTTTACGTTTAGATGTCAAAGGTATACACAATATCATTGTAGTTATTTCCACCTTCACTCTTGAAGAAAATATTAAGAAATGGCAAGGGAAAATTCCAATTATTAGTAAATTAACAGTGGCAGAAATGATTTTCCACAAATGACTGAGTTGAAAGTGAAAATGCTTTTTCTGGAACTTACAAGTTGGGTCAGTCAATTTTCTCATTAGGAAAAATTGTAGATAAAGGTTGCAGCATTCAGTGCTGCTACTACAACCTAAAACAGTTCAATTTATAGTGCAGAACAATATTGCATTGTATGCATTTTTTTTTTTACAAAGATTGCAACATACAGTGTTACTTCTAAATCCTAAAATACTTAAATTTCTTATGCACTCTTGTTTAAACAAAAATATGCCTGTGTTATATTAAATTCAACCTTAATAACAGTGACTTACAAAGTTTAGATTGCTTTTCCTTTATGTTTCCACCTTGCTCCTATTATTATTACTAGTCTTATGGAGGATATAAGGAAAGAATTGTCAGCCAGCTGAATTTTTTTCTGCTCAAGATGTTTCCTTCGTGAATGGCTTCATCTTATCGTAACCTACAAATTTTGATCTATGAAAATTCTCGGAAATGAAGCGTTTCCTCATTTAATTAGGTACTAAAAACTCATAAATACATACTCATACTCATAAAGCATTCCACTTGAATAGTAAAATAATTTGATAAAAAAAAAAAAAAAAAAAAAAAAAGTGGCCTATAAAAATATTGGGCAGTCTAGCCTATGTAACTTCACTATTTTGACATGTTGGGAGCTTAGGCCTTTATTCTTGATTTTTTAGTCAAATTATCTTAAGATTCTAGTGGAAAGCAAATGGGTATTTTATTACCTAATTAAATGAAAAACCATAAATCTGCACGTCTAAGTTATATCCCAATTGAGCTAATAAAAAATGAACCAAAAAGAACTTATGCAATCCCCTTCAAAGTATGTGACTCACTGCATAACCAAAGGTAAAGTATCAGAAGAGTGGAAAGTTGGTCACATTATCGTGACCTTTAAGAAAGATCATAAAAAAAGTGTATTCGAATTGTCGTAGAATAACAGTGACCAGTTGCATAATTAGGAATAAAAAATCTATTATTGGGCAGGATCATTAAACAGAGGCTAGAAGAAGAATGTGTGCATATAACTCCTGAAGAACAAGCTGGAGTTAAAACTGGGCAGTTCTGTAGTGACCACATTTTATAATTAGACAACGCCTACATAAGGCAATGCCATAAAATGAAGAAATACACCTAATATTTGTGAACTTACAAAAAATGTATGATACAGTGCCGTTAAAGAAGATGTGGGAAACGCTAGAACATTTCAACATAAGTCCTTACTTTATAACAGCTATAAAAAGCCCGTATCAAGATGCAAAAGCATGTGGTAAAACCGGAGTCTCTGTTAGTAATAGCTTTCTCATAAAGAAAGGTTTAAAACAGGAATATTCACTGTCTCTACTTCTCTTTAAAATTTATGTAGAAAGGGCTCCAAGATGATGGAAGAAAAATATGCAGAAGTATGGGCATAAAGACTGGAAAAAATTTCCTATTCACTCTCCAGTTTGCTGATGACAAGGTGTTCATCGCTTCAGAAGGAGAGGATGTAGAATATATGCTGAGAAAAGTCTCCAGGAATACTCAAGCTGTGGGCTGGAAGTCAGCAAAGAAAAAACAGTATATCTGGCCTTTAATAGCCAAGTATATATAGGCTTTAATATATTTAACTAATATATATAGCTGCATTTGGACACTTGCATGATGAAACCTAAAGCTCAATTAAAGTATTTAGGAAGTGGGGTGAATACGACAGGAATATCAGACATGGATATTGAAAAAAGCATAAGCAACGGAAAGATAATTATCATAATCTTAAATTTGGTTTTGTGGAGTAAAGAAGTGTCCTTAAAGCAAAAAAAAAATTGTTTCTGAAAAGTGTTACTCTCTATTCAGCTGAAACTTTGACAGTCTAGAAATGGATTATTAGAGCCGATCATGTGGTGTCTCTTGCCTTCAAAAGGTTCCAAATAGTGAAATAAGGGAACAAATGGAAGAGGGAAGATGGCCTAAATGAATTTCGTATTGGAAACTGGATAGAAGATGTAAGAAAGGTCGTTCGAGGAGAAACTAATATGAGGGCATAAAGGAAGGAATGATGAACAAGGGCATGCGTGAAGGAGATTGGCAGGACGGAAGGCAACATATGACTAATGTTGTAAAAGTCGTTAAATAACTGAATTTAAAACTATTTTTACAATGAAGGCAAATTTAATCTAAATAAATTGTGTCAAACATCAAGAAATAAAAAATTTCACCTGTACCACCACTTCAAAAAATCTAAGAAGAATTGAGGAGTGACAATATGGCTTAGGCAAAGATATTCTATAACTTTGGTTTTTCCAGCTCAACACCCTGTAGAACTATAGTCGTTATTCTCCAAATTTTCATACAATTTTTTTAGTATTTTCCTGAAAAAAGCAACTGAATACTTTGTTCCAAATGTTGGAGCGTAACTCTAATATTCCTGTTGATAGTTTATGAAGTCCATGAATCAATGTAACAGAGAAATATTTTTGATGTGCAGTGTTCATAAATATAAAATAAAGAAAATACTATAGCATTTTAAGGAACATGTGCTAATTATGGATTACAGGAGAACACTAGAGATCTCAAACTTGGGTGATAAGAATTTCTTGCGAGGCTGTAGATTTGTGTTATTCAGCTACCATTTATCTCTCTGGGGCACTTTTGATTTCCTTATCTGAACAGAGCCTTTTGTTGCATTTTTTTTTTCATAAAGAAAAATATAAAAATAATTAAAACACAATGCGACAAATGGCAAATAAACTTAGAATATATAAATAATTCGGCAGACTTATATTTATCTGAGGCTCTTCTGGTTAGTCGGACAAAGCCTGTGAAATAATGTTCATTTAATTTTCTATCCCTGCAACCTCTTCCTTAGTTCTAAACTTTTTTCAGCCCAAAGACATTATTTGAATATTTTAGATTTATTATTGCATATTTGGAGATTTTTAACTATGTATCTTATTTTTTTACTCCATATTTTACTAGTTTTTATTCCATAAAAATCCAATCTGGTTATTAATGGAACAATGTTTTTCAGATGGCCATGCGGACAACTCAGGAATAAATCTCTATTACACAGAAAAAAGGTAAGTATTTAATTTATAGTTATTAATATTCATTTTTGAAATCTGGTGTGGTGGGGGGGGGGGGTATCACAAAACTTTCACATACCACTCTACTTTGAGTAGAAATAGATATTTTCATATGAAGAGAAGTGAAAGTAAAAATTACAGACAGTATAATATATTCATTTAAAACAATTAATTACTATCGAAAATCTGTGTTCAGGTTAAAAATATTAGAGGAAATAAAGATTAAAGGAAATATGCAAATGTTAAAAAATAATTGCTTATTGAGTTGACAAATTTTAATTAATAAAATGTGAAAGTGGATCTTTTGTAAAAATTCGTAACTACTCATAGCTCATGTCTCTTTAAATTTTATTTTTATATATGTGCTAAATTTTTCAAGCTTGAAAATTTAAGGCGCACGTTAACAGTGTAGCTCAAAATCAAAAAGCGGTACGAAAGTGGCTAACCGGAAGAAGCACTTTATTTAATCAATTTAACCAATTTTTACAGTTTTCTCGAAAACGGCTTACAATTTGGATTAAATTTACTATATCAGTTTAAAATTAAACAGTTTTTAATATGATATGGGTTTTATTCTCATTGATGTTCTCTAACAGAGCTTAAATAGCTAATTTTCAATGTTAGCTTCCCCTTTTGTTAAAGTACCTTTAGTTTTTTTTATTTATAACAATTAACCATTTCATATTGATCTCTGATATAAAAAATAGCTAAATATAAAATATGAAAGAAGTTGATAATTAACTAAAGGGGAAATAAGAAATCCTAACGGAGAATAGTTGTAATGCAGGAACCACAGGAATACGAGCTTGTCTGAAAGATTGAACAGTCTTCCATACCTAACATGAGCTTAATATAATACAGACTCTGACAATATTATGTACATATACACATGCGGTTTTCATTTGTATTATTTAATATTTAATTGTATAGATTACAGCGAAGTAAATATCAAAATTTGCATGTATAAGGGTATTTAAACAAATAAAAAATACCCACAATGGAATATAAATAAATATAGCTCCTATAATTTTTACTTTCACTTCCACTTTGTCTGAAAACATTTATTTCTGCTAAGAAGATGGAAGTAGGTGAAATTTGTGTGATGCGCGCACCACATCAGATTCATCATATGATTATCTCATTAATACTATAAAACAAATACTGTTTGATCTGTTGTAAATAATCTTTTTTTTTAATGTGAGTCTAATTTTTATGAAGCCAATATGTCATATGTAGCAATAATCTTTTTCCCCTTCAGTTTGCTTGTTTTGTATTATTAAAAAGGTGATTAGTGTTTGTTGATAATGCATATTTATTTTTCCTGTGTTGTAAATTTACTCAAAATTGAATCCAATATCTTGAAAAAAATTTAATTTATTTAATATTTGTCATGATGGTATGAAAATGATTGCCTGTAGTTATAATGCAAGAAAGTTCTAATTAGTCAGTCAACAATCACACACTATGTGGGTGCAATATTTTTTTATAACCTACATTTCAACTTGTACTGTAAATATTGCAGCAACACAGGGTATGATTGATCCTAAAAAAAATTGATAAGAAAAACCAAGTCAGGTCCATTTTTAGTGTGCTTTAAAACCCTTAAATAGAAATTTAAAAAAAATATATATTTAAAAAAAATCTTTATTACAAAGAAATAGAAAAAAAAATATTTAACTTGTTTTCTTTTTTACTTTCACTTATCTATATATGTAATATATAGTAATAGTAAGTATTGCAATCATGAAAATTTTTTAATCTGAGTTTCAACGGAAATGCACGTTTGAGGTACCCTGAGTCCAAATAACCAAGTCCCGAAAAATGGACTATGTGTCTGTGGGTTTGTTAACACTCTAGCTCAAAATCGAAAAGTTGTACGAAACTGATATTACGGATTTAAGAGAGGTATATGCCTTAGATGTCCTGGCAACTTTTTCCTTAAAATCGGCTTACCGAAAGTGCCACTTTATATCAACACTGAAACACATTTTTACAATTTTCTCAAAAACGGCTCAAACGATTTTGATTAAACTCGGTGTATCATTATATAATTAAGTGGTCTTTAACATCATTTAGTTCTTATACCCGTTTATGTCACTTTACAGGACTTAAATACCCAATGTTCATATACGTCTTCCTCTAAAGTGCCTTTAATATGGTTCATTTCAAATAATTAACTATCTCTCATTATTAAAAATTTTTAAAAAAGGCTAAATATAACTTGAAAGAATTTGATAATTGAATAAAGGAGAAAAAATTAAAAATGCTTATCCAGGTCGAAAATGAATCTCCAGAAATACTAGTCAAAAGGTATACGTATAATATATCGTTGGAAAGTGGAGAATTTCAGAAAAAACAAAATCTAATATAGAAAGTTGTCGAAGGTAACGGAGAGTGGCGAAAAAATTATTAATAATAATTTTTGAAAACTAATCATATTTAACGTAAATCACATGTTTTCAAGGAAATTAAATAAAATTTACTAACTAAATGTAAACTTTAAAAAATATTTTTAAGTTTGTAAAAAAAAAAAAAAAAAAAAAAAAAAGTAAGTGTCATGGCCGCTACTGCAGTTTAGTTTTCAGTTCGCTCTGTGATTATTACTTTGCTATGTGCTTATTAGTCAAAACTCTGTGTTAATAATTGATTAACAGTGACATTATAAACAGTTGAACATTTTTAAGTTCACGGATAAAGAGGTGAGTTACAATTTATTAACAATGAAGTGATAAATTAGTGCTCGTTTGAATAGCCCATGTGGCTGTTAATTCCCTTGCCGTTCTTATCTTATTTACGTTAAGTTCCCGGCCAAGGTTTGTATATTAGCTTGCTTCCATCAGCTGATCTCAGTTCGACCAAAGACTTGTAGAACTCCTTTTTTTTTTTCTTTTTCTTTTTTTTTTTTTTTTTCTTTTTCTTCTTCAAGAGACAGTTTATTTAATTTTTTTCCTTTGTTTATTTATTCTCAGAAATGTTTTGTTTTATTTCTGTTTCTGAGTTTGTAATTTTTTTTTTCTTCTTTTTAATAGATCGTAAATTCTTATTTTGTAGTTTTAATATTTAGGTATATATATTATTTTTTTCTTTCTTTTCTCTTCTTATCATAATGGAAGATATGAATTTGGACGAGAAATCTTCATGTGAAGATTCAGAGGACGAGACACCATTTTCCGAGGTTAGCGAAACTGATTCGCAATATCTGAAAAGATGCTCGCTTCAAAAACGTCACAGAAACTCTGCCCCTGGGTCAGGTGGCAATTTGCCTAACAAGAAGAAAAATAAATCAGCAAAATCTAAACAGACAGCTGAACAAAATAAATCTAAACAGCCTGCCGAGCAAAATAAATCCACCCAGAACTAGAAGCAAATCAAACATCACAAAAACAGCTCCAACTGCACCAAATACCACAGCCAGCAATAATTTTGATCTTGGTAGTAACTCACCTAACAAGCCTTCGGTACCTCAAGGTTTTACTGACACCGAGCTGCCCCCTATTTTTGTCTCTAAAATTGAAAATTTTATATCATTCGTTCAAGACATTGCCAATCTTATCGGACAAACCAGTTTCCGCTGTTTTTCTAGGGTTAATGACATTAAGATTAACACGAGCTCTAAAGAAAATTATAAAACTCTGATAAATTATTTTACAGCAAAAAATATGAATTTCTTTCATTGTTACCAACTGAGACAAGAAAAGGCATATCGGGTGGTATTGAGAGGCTTGCACTCAACCACTCCCATATCCGTTATCAAATCTGATCTAGAGGAAATAGGACATAACGTTAGGCATATAGCATGCGTCCTACATCCAACACAAAAATATCCATTGCCACTGTTTTTCGTTGATTTGGAGCCTGCAAGCAATAACATTGACATATTTCAAGTTAAGAGGCTTGTGTATTCCACAGTAAAATTCGAAGAGCCTAGACAAAAACCTGTCATAGTTCAATGCTCCAAGTGTCAAGACTTGGGGCACACAAAGACCTATTGCCATCATCAAGCGAAGATGTGCCGGGCCACACGCATCTAACACTTGTCAGATCCCTCGAGACCAGCCTCCTAAATGTGCTCTCTGTGGCGAAGACCATCCTGCAAGCTATAAAGGATACATAGTATATAAAAAATGCTACAAGTTAAGAACTCATAATATAGCCTTAAAGTGCAGCCAACCAAATAAAGAAACTTACACCCAGCCACCAGAAATTGATATTACAAATTTTCCTGAGTTGCCAAAACAAACTACCCATTCAACACAACAAGAACCAACTACTTCAACTGAAATCGCCCATCCTCAACAGGACTCTACCAAAACTAGCACCCATACCACCATCAAGAAGCAACAGCCTCGACGCCAGGCGCCTCAGGCCTCCCAAGCTAAACCTCATACTCCCAATCCTCTCATATTTCATCCTCCGCGTCAGCAAATTCCCCCTCATCATCTACCTCTACGAGTCAAATTACCGCCACAGCAATCGCACCCATCTCATCCTAATGCCCAGAAAAAAAACCCAGCACAAGTATCGTCGAATCCAGTCCCACCTCGTATACAACAACGAATTCCACTCTCAGTTAACACTCCTTACCCGCCACCTGAACCTATCCTAAATCCACTTCACAATCAACATCCATCTGATCTAATTTCCATTCTATCATCCTTCCTATTGGACCTCCAAAACACCATAAAACCTCTTATCACTCTACTAACCAGAATCCTGACCGAAATTCCGTTTAATTTCCCTCGATGAGCACAAAGCCCCTAACTATCCTTTTATGGAATGCTAACGGACTACACAACCACCGTGACGAACTTGACATATTTCTTCATAACAATCACATTTTTTAATTTTTAATTTATTTATTACCAGATCGTCCTGGTGGGCCTTACATGGTTGTTGTAACAATTTGATGATTTTTAACAATTTGTTCTGGTGGGGTATAGTCTTTGCAAAAGACACCCCTAACTATTTATACATTATAATTATTGAATAATTAC